CCGGCAACTCCCGCGCCATTCGGGCCCGTGCAGGTCCCGCCCGGCCCCTTCCCGAGCTCCGGTCAGTCGGCTCCGGCTCCAGCTCCACAGCGTTTCTCCCGCAGACTTTCCTCGCCTCGCCGCCACGAGCCCGCCTTCGCCTCATTTCTGTCCGGTCCACGACCCCACCTCTTCTTGCCCCTCAATACAGATCTAGGCCCCGCCCACCCATCTCTCACCCCAAGGCTCTGCTCCCTGGACCGTCGCCTCTCGCAGCCCCGACCCCTGCTCACCTACAGGTCCTTTCCATCAGAACGCCGCCCCTCCTGGGGACGCCCTTCCCTACGTCTCACCCACATGCCTAGGCCTGGCCCCGTGCCCGAGCCCTCCCGCTTCCCTCCAAAGACCCTAGTCTATGCCCGGACCGGCTCACTCCCCCAGCCCCCAGCAATCCCGCCCAGCCCGGGTACTCCCACCGCCCCACCCGGCATGCGAGCTGCCCCGCACACACACGGCCACGCCCACTTAGGACCACGCCCCCTGTGGCCACGCCCAGCCGCCGCCGCTTCTCACCTTCCTAACGAGCTCTGCTGACTGGCTCCAGCGCTGCGGCAGAGCTCCGGCCCTCAGGCTAAACAGGCTTTCTACAGTCAAGTCTCCATCAGGAGAGTGCTGCTGTCTCCTGGTGGCCGTGTGCAGTGCTGGCGCGTGGGGCTCAGGGCTGGAGCTTTGTGAATCAGGTCTTACTTGGTGACTTCTCCACTGCGCGACGGCCATTGGCACCTTGATTCTCGTTTCTCCCCAAATCCGATGCATCTATCTCAGGGCCTTGGAACACTGCACTGAGGGCAGCGACCCTGTCTGGGTAAAGCTGGACGTCATTGTGCTATCATGAGAAAGGGATGAGCTAGGGCTACCTCAGCATTTGTCGCAGCTAGGCTGGCATGGAACTGGGATGGTGGGGCAAGGTCCAAGCAGTGTGGTGTGGGAGCTGTGCTAGGAGAACCACCACTGCAGCTTTGGAAGGCATTGGCCAGGCAGCTGAAGCAGGCAAGGCCAGGCATCCACAGCCTCTTGGACCGTGCACTCCATGGTGCACTCCCTCAGTGACTCTCCAGAGCCTCCTTGCCAGGACCTGACACCTCTGCTGCCACACACTCAAGCAGAGAAGCCGGTCTGGAGAGAGAGAGAGGTGAGAGGAGACATTGGAAGCTCCAAAGAAAGAAAGAAGTAGGGGCTCTCCACTTCTCCTTCCAGGCCCTCGGGAGACTCCTGTGGTCCTCCTCTCTCAAGTTCCACAAGACCCTTGCAGGACAGTCCTTTCCTTCTCAGGCAGCCTAGAGTGCATTGTTTACCGTCCACATCATGAACTCTCTTTTCAGGCGTGAATCCACTATCCCCAACCCTGTACTCAGTGAGAATGGGCTGCCTTCTTTTCCCCAGCCTCATCCTGCTCCTCACCTGTCTCCCTGCCTCTTCTACCTCTGTGTTTTGCAATCTCTGAACTGAGTCTCCAAATGCCCCATGCCCCGTGGAGCATCCCCAGGTCCCCCGTCTCCCTCTGGAGTACCCACAGCATGGGCTCTGTCCCTTCCTGAACCTGCTGCTGCTTTTTGTCACATATGTCCTCATTTCCTCTGGGTTAAGCTCTGTGCACCCATGGCTCCTTCACTGTATTTGGCATAGTGACTGTTTGCTAAGTGAATACATGAGTCTTTAATAAACTGAGCAATACTCATTGGAAAACACATTTAATTTCAAAGTAAACAAAGATGTCTGTACATTAAAGTATTTAATTAGTGAAACAATTATCAGTGTAACAAGCTGAAAAATACAGCAACTTGATACGAGACTGAAGTAACAAAATACTTCACCAAAAGTCTAAAGAATCCCGCCGAGGGCTGATGTCCAAGGGTTATTGCGGGTGAGACAATTCACAAGAATTAGAGAAAGTCCTTACACGACTGCATGCAGGGTTCTGCTGAAAAAAAGACAGCCTAGGAGAGTGCAACGGATTCAACACGAAACAAATTAAAATGTAGAAACTGATTTTCAACTTACTTTGAATACATAAGAAATTGAAAACTACTCTCTACGTAACATTTTGAATGCTAAGTGGAAAACCATGCATTTTGGCACAAAATTTATTAAAGATTATACCACACTACTAAAGGAATGACTATTATTTTGTTACCGAATGGTCACAGTCGTCCAGAAATGGATTAGATGAATGGTTTGAAAACGGACAGATGACCTATCATGTGCTGCTGCCGTGAGCGGGGGTTTCAGGGCCACCTGTGGGGTGCACACGCTTGCACGGCATTGGGCTGTGAGGCAGTCTGGCATCCATAGTAAAGCTCTCAACAGCCCTGAAAATGCAGGGCTTGTCCATCTGTAGGTGTACTTAACATTGAAGTGAAAACAAAAGCCTAAGACATAAACACTGTGAACACTCTGACCCCACCCCCTCCTCCCACTTTTGGAGTGCCAGTGTACTGGACCCTAGCTCTGACGTTCTGTCCAACTCACCCTAAGACAGCAACTCTATCTAGTCCTTGCAACCGATCTCACGGGTTGAGAGGCTATGCAGTCTGTTGAGCTCTCTGAAGACTTTTGAGGACAATCTGTGCACAGGGTTTGCAGCCAGTGCCAGGAGAGGCAGGGTCTTGTCCAAGGAGATGCTGGAGTGGGGATTATTTTGTTTGTTGAGTTGTCAGCTCCGCGAAGGCAGGATCAGCAGATCTGGCTTGTTCTCAGACTTCTATATCCCAAGTAGAGCCTGGCACATAGGATGCACTAGCTAAAGAGGTGAATGAATGAATGGATGGTTTTGTGCAGACTGTTCTTTCAAAGGTACTCTCATGGTTCTTTATAAAACATGGTCATCACCCAACATGTCAAGGTGCTGTGGGGCTGATTAAAGTCATTTACGAGTCACAAAGACAAGAAGTAGGCTGTGTTTTTGGCAACATTTACCTGGTGGTTATGAGCGTCAGCAACGTGGGCGAAGAGCTCTGGGCCAACATGAGTTGGCAAGAACCTGCAGGTGACCAGTTTCCCATTGCACGAACCATTCCCATCTGTAAAGTAGCACTCTAAAAGACACATCGCTTGAGCTTGGGAGTTGGGGGTAAGATAAAGAGACTGGCCTTGGTAAGAGAAAGACAATGCTTTATGAATTTGGTTGGTAAGAGTGGATTCTTTCCTAAACAGAATCCCTTCGGCATCTCCCCCATAGGTTCCATGGTCTGACAGGTGCTGAGTGGGCTTCTGCTCAGGGGAGGGGAGGGGGCTACCCTCTCTCACTGTCATGCTCAGAACAGTATTTCCGCTGCTCTCCACCAGATCAGTCCTCCAGGAAGCATTTCAGTTACTGGAATGCACCTAGCTGACCTTGAGTTACAAAACGAGAGGGAAAGAATTTCTCCCAGGGAGAAGCGAGTGAGTGGGCTGTTCTTGAGACAGCATAATGCTGCTGGCTACTCTTACGTGTGTAGACAGGGTCCTATGATTTTCCTTTTGTGCACCGTGACCTGTTTGCTTGAGAAAATGATATAGCAGGTGCAGGCAAGACATAACACCTTCAGTGGTTTCACAAACATTTGTGCACGGTGAAGCACCCACGGAGCAAAAAGCAGAAATGTCTTCCTCCAGGTGAAAATTCCTCCATGGATGTCTCCCTTGGTGGTCTGTACCTGGCCCCTCTGTCCCAGGCTTACAGGGACAAAACACACAGGGAGGACACTTAGAACTTAACACACAGGCTTGGTCCTGAGCCCCTGTTGGAGAGCTGAGTATCTTTCAGGGTTCTTCTGGTGTGCTCGAGGCTCTTGCCAGCTCTACAAGGTTTGTGCCATCAAAGTCTAAACACAGTCTTCAAGAGTCTGAGCTAAGAATGTTTCTGGGAGGGGATATGCAATCAGTCTCATTGAGTGGGAAGACTAAATACTTTGAAATTTTTTTGATTGCCCTATTTCAAATGAGACTCAAAAGAAAATACTCATGGAAGATAAGCAACATTCATGGGACCAGCAGATGGTGGAATGGTTCTATTGCTGGACTGCCACCTAGTCGACCGCAGTTCGAGTCCTGGACCTGGCAGCTTTAAACTCACGCTGGGTGCATGTGCGTGTATGCCCAAAATCCCGAGAGGAAAATAGAGAAGGGATTGTGGCGTGGCCATCCCCCCTGTATGGTAATTTCTTGCTTTCTGTCTCTCTGTCTCGCTCTATCTCTCTGGTGAGCACAAATGCCCTATAGCAAAAATCTCTCTCTCTAAAAAAAGGAAACATTCGTAAGGGAAGGAAATTACTAGATTTAGCAGAGCTTGAATTCTGGGATTTTGACTTGGCATCTGTAATACTGCACATGTTTGAAGAGTGAGGAAATCTAAGGAAAAGGAAACATCAGTCTTGCACTTTCACCCAAATTAAGACTTTCTAGAAGTTGGCAGGTAGAATCAGATTCTCTGTGGGTTAAAATGCTAACACTGCCTGGTTCTGGTCAGAGGTGTCTTGAGTGGTTGGTGTTGTCATTCAACCCGTCGATGCTAACTGGAGGGGTTGCTGGTAGAATTAGGTGCACACATCCAGACCTGGCGATGGGTGGGTGTGCAAAGCACCTGTGGTCAAGGATGAGTGACACCAACTCTGCACCTGCGGTTTCTCTTGGCGTGAAAGCATCCTACTCTTCACCTGGAGGAGAGTCAGTTGCTGAGTACAATACACCTCAGACACAAAATTAGACCCTGAGGACAACTGCTTTCCTCACCAACTCATTTGACTTTTTGGAGAAGCTGTCACTATTTGATCAAAATACAGTGGGGGGGTTCTTTGGCAATTTTAAAATCGAGCTATTCCAGTTTACTAGTTTTGATGCAGTGTTGAAGCATCTTGCCCAGAAAGGGTAGTTTGATGTCCAATTAGTGTGAATTCTGAAATCACAGTAGTGACAAGGACCCAGAAATGGTCTCTCAGAAAAACTGTTTAAGGGATTCATTTTCAGAATCCAGAAACGAGATTAGAGAGGTGTGTGTGTGTGTTTTGGGGGGGACATGATGGTGATAAAGAGTAAGTCATTATTTTGAATAAGAATGTGTTTGTGCAAAATAAAAGTCACTTTTAAATATGACAAAGGACGTTGTTCGTGTGAAGAGCTCTTAGCTGAATGCCGGAGCTGGCCCGTTCACCCCCTGGGGCTTTGATCTCTTGTCACATGGCCATCAACGACTGCACCCTTGGACTGGGATGATGGAGAACTTGCTGGTGGCCTCATTGGGGGCAAGACTGTGGAGCTTAAGGCCTCAGTGTCTGTCACTCAGCTCCCCGGTGTGATCAGGAATCCTGGTGGGCCCCGCCCTGGCAGTGGAGGCAAAGGGAGAGGTGACGGGAGCAAAAGCCTGGCCCAGCGGTAACAGGTTGGTGCAGAGTGGCTTCTGTGCAGCCGATCACTGTGAGCACGGTGGCCTCCGAGCTGCTTCGAAGAGAGCTTGGAGAAAACGTCACAACTTCCCATTTGGCATGGTGGTGGGGGTGAGAGAAGGGCCTTAGGCCCTGCCAGGAGAGAGCATGGGAGGAAGCAGGCAGGCCAGCAGCCCAGTCCACAGTCTTGAAGCCAGGTCCTGTCTCAGAGGGCTGACAGCAACAAGGCCTAGAAGGGACAGGGCCCAGAGAGCAGGCCTTGCAGATGAATAGCACCCATAGGAACAGAAAACAAGACACAATTTAAGGCATTGTTTGTTTACAGTAAAAGAATGCAAGGGACCCTTAGCACAGGGGGACGGTGGCCTTCCTCGGCGGCAAGGCTATAACTGAAGGTAAACGCGAGGCCTCAGAGCGAATGGACTGTGTGATGTCACAAGTCTTGTGCCAAAATGCATGTTTCTCAGAGAGTTCACACTCGCTCGCACACACACACGTACGCCACGCACACGCAGAGGACGCTTCAGGGTTGTACAAAATCGGAGGCAGTTCTGTGGGCGAGCAACCCCATGCACTTGGGGTATAAAAAGCCTGTTCCACAGCCTCTTCCTTCCCTCTGGCCCCTCTCGCAGGGGAGCGCTGTCCACTCCTTGTGCAGTGAAAGCACTGAGGACCACGTGGGTCAAATGCTCTCTCTAGTCGCAGAAGCAGCTGGTGGACGAACGACGGCCCAGAGAGCGAGTGGGAGTGTGCAGTTTGGGGTCCGACCGCTGCCTTGCAAGGGAGGGCTGCAGAATGAGCGTGGTGAGAGTCGCCGGGGGCGTTGACAGGTAGATCCCACCCTGGGGGAGCCCTCTGGGACTGTGAGCTCCAGGCTGCATCCCCGGGAGTCCGGCTGTGAGTCTTCCAGCACCCTGGCCACCACTTGTGCTCAGGGCTGCTCTTCTCCACCAGTCCCAGCCCTGGCTCCCAGAAGCCTCTGAAGTCACGCCACGTCCTGCAGAGACTCATTCAAATGACATAAGGTTTGCAGGAACCTAGAAGAGAAAGCTCAGCCTTTGGTCAGAATTCTGGCCAGTCGGGAAGGGACAAGGGGTGGTCCCTGTGGGTCAGGACCAGGTTTTTCCCAATTAGACTGTGAATGAGCAGGTCAGGTGGGCAGAGGGTGTGGTAATAAGAGCAGCCAACACTTGTTAAGTGCTTGACATCATATGTGAAGACATATGCTTGTGTCCCCAAGTCCTCACATCAACCCCAATAGGCAGGTCCTGGAATCATCCCCATTATAGAGATGAAGAAACTGAGGCTTAGAGGCGTTAGGCACACAGCACGTAAGTGGCAGGGCTAAAACCCCAGAGCCCACCTCTACCACCACGCTCCACTCAAGGTAAAGCTGCACTTGGAGTGGGAGGGGGCATCTGCAGGGGAGCCGGGGGAGGAGTGCGTTGTTAGAGGAGGGCAGGAATCAGCAAGTAAGAGGTCAGTTTGGGGAGACCGTCTCAGAACAGTGCCCCAGAACAAGGTCTGAGACTCTTTACTAGCGAGACCACCAGACCAAGCTCGGAGTGCTTCCACCTCCCTTCAAAGCTGCCAGCAGGCCTCCGGCCCCAGCCCTCCGGCCCCAGCCCTCCGCTGTGGGCTCCTAGGAGAATGGTTAGAATCAGTTTCACCGAAAAACGACCCATCTTGGTGTTGATTTGGTCAGAAGGAATTAGCAATGCACCTCCATGCACCAGGAGACAGGCATAAGGATGGTGGCCGCAGACTACTCACGAGAGCAAAAAGGAGGAACTCACCCCGGGAGGACCAAGAGAAAAACTGATACGAGAAACAGAAAACCAAACAAGACCCAGTACTAAGAAATAAATGACGGCCGCGTGTGTTGACACAGACTCAGGAGCACGTCGTGGGAGAAAAGCAAGTCAGCTATCTGGCTCTCGTTCTATTTTTAGGAAGTTTTCTAAAATGCTCCCCAGGCCATACATGAAGGACTCAAATCCAAGTTCTCAAATTATAAAGGAGTGGCAAACGGATGGGGCAGAGGTGACAGGTCTGGGGTGGGAGGGAGGGACAAAGGATAGGAAGAAGCGCGTGGAGGAGGGAAGGTGTTCCATGGCCCTGGGAGGTGCTGCTGGTGGGGACACAGGCGCTTGCTCCATTGCTGCTATCTGCATCTCATGTTACAAACAAGGCTGAAGCACATTCCGTGTTAGTAAAAACCGAGATAACAGATGCGGCTCCACAAAGGAGGAAGGCGGTCCTGAGTCACTGGGATGTCCCACGTGACCATTTCTCACGCCCTCCCTGCATTCACCACGGATGTGCTGGAAGGGCTTAATGCCCTCGGTGGTGGAGCATTTAGGTTGCTGCCAACTTCTTATGATGCACAGCACAGAGTGGGAATATCTGGCTGAAAGCATATTAGAAATAAAAAGGGGGAAATCTAGGGGCAAAAATCCCTTACCCTAGGTCTGAAAATTGGGCACAAACACCTGAAAGCTGCAGAACCTGTCGGGGTACACACCATGTGCCTACATGCGAAGTTCGATCTAGTCTAGAAGAGAAAGATCAAGCACCAGTTCCCCCACCTCGGTCTGAGCCAGCGCCCTGCTACCTGCTACGGGGCTGCTGCCACCCTCTGGTTCCTCCCTGGTCTCCTGTCCCTCCCTGGTGTGGAGGCTGCTGACCCGACAGGGCAGAGACCAAAGCCCACCTCTTTCCCCTCCCTGTCCACCCAGGTGGCCCATCTAGGGATGGACCTGCAGCCACTCCAGCCTCCTGTGCACCGGTCATGGGCCACCTATGGATGGTAGGTAAGCTTCAGGGTGCTGTGCTCATAGAGAGAGGCACTCAGAGCCAAGGAGGGGCCCCAGACACGGGCCATGGCCATGCAGAAGAGGCTGGGAAGCTCCTCCCCCACTGTGTACCCGGGGGGGGGGGAGACAGCAGCCTCCACAGCACCTTGCTCCTGCGATGACTGTAAGCCAAAAGCACTGGGCAATTGTATTGTTCAATGCGCAAAATACATGTAAGTGTTCTAGAAACTACGGAATCCTAGTTTCTTGCATGTCATTTTTGGAATTTTATATACAAACAAACATACATATAATAAATATGCACATGCGTTTTAATACAAATGAGACCTTCCTTTTCCAAACGCTTTGCTCTTTGCTTTGCTCCCCATACCTCAGAACCCTTGTGATCACACACAGCTCTGCCTCGTCCCTGTTCCTTTCTTAGTTTTGAATCTGCTATGGGAGTGTGGGCTCACTGGAGAGAGGGACAGAGAGGGTGAGTGAGGCAGCATCTCCCAGGGGAGTGGTTACACCACAATCGCTTCTTGTCTCAGGATTTTGGGTACATATGCACATGCATGTGGCATGTTTTTCAAGCCCTGGGTCTGGCACTAGAACCACACAGTCAGCTATGTGGGATCCAACTGCCTTAAGCGCCACGCCACCAGCTGGCCCTGACCCTGAGTTTGTAAGTGCTATCAAGTGTGGTGTGTCAGGGATCTGTGGAGGGTCATGGCATTTCCAGAGTTTTTTTTTTTTTTTTTAGAGGTTTTTGCTATAGGGCGCGTGCGCTCGCCAGACAGACAGAGAGAGACATAGAGATAGAAAGTGAGAAATCACCCCCCAGAGGGGATGGTCACGCCGCAATCCCTTCTCCTCCATTCTCCTCTCGGGATCTTGGGCATGCACGCACACGTGCCCGGCGTGAGTTTTAAGCCACCGGGTCTGGGATGCGAACCGCAGTCGACTACGTGGGAGTCCAGTGACATAGCCATTACGCTAACTGCTGGTTCCCCAGAGTTTTTTTCTATCGAGAACAATGCTGCAGTGAACATTCTTTTTTTTTTTTTTCAAGGAAAGTGAGAAAGCAAGGTCAGGACTTAAACCACGGTCAGCCCTTAACCACCACGCTACCTGCTGGCCCCCATTCTTTTTTTCTTTCTTTTAGAGAGGCTTTTGCTATAGGGCACATGCACTTCCAAAAGAGACAGAAAGTGAGAAGCCACTCCCCACAGGGGAATGGCCTTACCACAATCCCTTCTCCTCTGTTCTCCTCTCAGGATTTTAGGTATCCATACACATGTGTCCAGTGTAAATTTTAAGCCACCAGGTCTGGGACCTGAACCGTGGTCAGCTACATGGGAGTCCAGCAACGTAGCCACTATGCCATCTGCTGGTCCCTGCAGTGAACATTCTTTTTTTCCTTTTTTTCTCTTTTTTTCTTTTTTTGAGGAGGATTTTTTTTTTTTTTTTTTTTTTTTCTACAGGGCGCGTGCGCTCGCCAGAAAGACAGAGAGAGAGACAGAGGGACAGAAAGCGAGAAATCACCCCCCAGGGGGGATGGTCAAGCCGCAATCCCTTCTCCTCTCGGGATCTTGGGCACACATGCACAGGCACCCGGCGTGAGTTTAAGCCACCGGGTCCAGGACTTGAACTGCCGTTGACTACGTGGGAGTCCAGTGACATAGCCATTATGCTAACTACTGGTCCCGCCTGCAGTGAACATTCTTAAACATTAAGTCTTTGAGTACACGTGTTGAGTGCATTCTTAGGACAAATTCCTAGATAGGTGAGTCAAGGAACTCACATGTGGTTTATTCTTTAATTTATTCATTATTTATTTACTTATTTATTTTTTGAGATGTTTTGCTATAGGGCGCATGCACTCGCCAGACAGAGAGATAGAGAGGCAGAAAGAGAGAAATCACCCCCTAGGGGGATGGTCATGACGCAATGCCTTCTCCTCTTGGGATCTTGGGCACGCACGCACACGAGCCCAGTGTGTATTTAACCCACTGGGTCTGGTACTAGAACCATGGTCGACTACATGGGAGTTCAGCGACATAGCCATTACACCAACCTCTGGTTCCCACAGCGATTTATTCTAAGCTTCCCTGTGCTGCCTCAAGTTTACCCTTACGTTGGTTTGGTCCAGGTGTCTGTCAAGGACTGCTGCTATCTCTGTGGTTCCGTTTTCTGTTACCTATAATGTTGGTCAGCTGTTCATGTATGTCCTCATCTCTGTCACAGATGAAAATCCTAAAATGGACTGTGCTGAGCACAGAGCCCTAGCAAACACACTAGAGACCTTGCTGATGTATAAGAGCTCTTTGAGGGGCCAAGAAGTCTGTTGTACCACACACAACACAGCCCTTGTCCTCCCAGGCCAAGTGCCTGGTGTGATCCGGCCTCTGCCAGGTGCCCTCAGGCCTCGGAGCCATGGCCTGCAATAGGGTCTCAGCGCCCAGCTGCTGCCCAGCCTTCCTCCTTGAAGCCACCGCTCATCTCTTCCATGCCCTGCGGCTGTGTCCCCAGGCAGCCTGGGGAGAGAGTGCCAACCTACCCAGCCCGCTGCTGACATGGGTGCTTAGGGCGGGCCCCAGGGAGCAGGATGCTCTAGCCTGCCTGACCTGGTGTTGCAGGCTGGGGCAGCCCTCACTCTCACGGGTCTGGACCGCCAGCGCTGTGCTCCCAGGCCTTCTGCTCAGCTGCAGGGGCTTCCAGGGAAGTGGAGGAGGAGGGCTCTGGGGCAACAGGGCAACAGGGCCAGAACCCGGGCGGGCAGACCTGGGTCAGGGCCCAGCTCTACCACTTATCATGGTGAGACTGTCAGCAAGTGTCTGCACTTTCTGAGCCTCAGGATCCTCAGTATAACATGGAGACAGCAAGAGAACCTACCTCACAGGGGCGCTGGGAGGGCTCGGCCAGTTCCTGCGGGTGGAGCATTTCGCTTGATGCCTGGCGGGGGAGGGGTGGCGGTGGGGGTGGGGGAGCCATGCCAGGAGCCGGGCCCCACAGCCTGACGACCCACACCAACACAGAGCACTGTTCAAGCGCTCTCAGGGGCCGAGACCCCCTTCCTCAGAGCCTTTCCTGGCACGCTGCCGGCTCCTGATTAGTCAGCTGTTACTATGATCTAAGCGTTTGCGGCAGGGGCACTAGTCAGTCTGGAGTGTTCCAGACGAATTCAGCTCTAAATAGACGCTGGAGCCCAATCCCAGGCAGTACCACCTCTGCCACCCAGCTGTGCCCAGTGGATGCTCCTCATAGGGGGAGGGCATTGGAGTTTTGGTCTGGGGCCAGACTTCATTTTAAGCTGAGCAAAGGGTGCCTTATCTCACGGAAAAACACTGTGCCCGGGGTCATGACTAATGGGCCCCAAGGGAAGAACGGAGCCCCATTTCCTAAGGGGAGGAAGGGTAGTTCAGGGCCGGCAGAACTTTAGGCACTTTACCTGAGGCCTGCTGCTTTTACACGCGTCATCCAAATGCTTGTGCCACAGTATCGCGTGAAATCGGGAGCCGGTCTGGAACTTGTAGACGTTGCCTGAGGGCAGAGAGACCGCGGTAGCAGTGGGTCCCAGTGGGGTCAGCTTGAGGCTGCGGCATGACGGGAAGCGCAGGCATGGGGACTGGCCAGTGACGCCCGCGGAGGGGGACCTCCTCCGCCCCAGCCAGCTGGCTCTTTGAATGGGGCGCTCAACCATTTTGGGGGTGTGGTGCCTCTGGCTCTCTGCTGAAGCCTCTGGTCCCCTTCCCAGAATAAGGTTTTTAAATGCATAAAATAAATTGCAAAGGAGATCAATCATACTGACACATAGTCATCAAACTACTGAGAAACAGGAGTGGCGTAGCTCCACACATGCTTCTGTGCTGACTCACTAAGACAAGTTCTAGTGGTGCGGTCTGTCCTGTCGTTTCAAAGAGGTGAGCTTGTACACCTTGAAATATCCGCAGTAAAACGTGATAAGAAAATAGCTATGATTTCTCTGGGAAATAAAAATCACAGGTATTGCCTAACATTTGATGCCTATACACATAATCAAAAGAGTCAGAAGTCACTGAAAATGTTTTTCCCAATCCAGTTTGCCAACCCCTTGAATTCTATCCGTGGATGCTGTCCACCCTCTTGTGTCACATTTCCCTCTGCCTGGGGACAATGCTTCCCTCTGGGTCAAGACCATAAGGTCCTTAAGTCAAGCTTGTGTGGGCATAGCTTTGACTTCCTCAGAAACCACGGCAATTCTGGCCCAAACCACTGAGGGAGAAATTCACACAGGAACCAAACTTGGCACACTGCTATAGGCATGTGACATACACTTAGACACGGAGCAGAAACTTGGCAATCAACATCCTTCTGTTCCTTGGGCTCCTGGAGGCTCCCGTACTCCCATGATCACTTCTCAGCTGAGAACATTAGGCCCTGCCCCTCAAGGTGTGGTCTTGAGACAGGCACCATCATTGGCATTGCCTGAGAGCTGGTCAGAAATGCAGCGTCTGAGTCTCCATCCCAGATCTACTGAGTCCAAGTCTCAATTCGAGCTCAAGACTGGGAAGTACATGAACCTTGCACTAGAGCATTCTTGTTCAGTGCTAAGGTGCTCAGGGACTTTACAGCCCAAGCAAATGTACCTGGTTAGAGTCTAGACCCAGGTAATTTGGGGCTTCTGGCAGGTGACATGGACTACCAAAGAGACTGGCCATGGCCTGATTAGTCAGCTGTTACTATGATCTAAGGATGTCAGCAAAGTCATGGCTCCCGGACAGGATGGTACCAGAACCTTTCCTCCTTCCTCAGGCAGTTGGGACTACTAGATAGCTGGGGAAGGCAAACTGGAGCTTTGGGAAGTCAGAAGGTTCTTTTCTGGGTTGGCTTTGGGGCTGGGCACTGCCAGAGTCTCACGGTCCCTGCCGTCTCCCGAGACCCGTCCAGCTACGTGGCCCCGCCTCACCCAGCACTGCGTTATTTGTTCCCAGACTGAGGCTTCAGCTCCTGGGGCAAGGAGCCTTAGCAGCCAGAAGTAAGGCCACAACATGGATTCTGATGGCCCCATGTCACGCACACACTCCGTGGAGACACCTAGCGTGGTCTCCGCAGGTTCTGTGGGCTAGGGAGGGACCATGTGCACACCAGCACCCAAAGCAAAGGGAAAGCATTGGCCCCGGGGCTCCCGGTGTGGTAGCCTCCAACACACGCTGGGCGGAGAGGGCGTGAGCGGAGGGCAGCAGGCCTACCTTTGTCAGGGTTATTCAGCTGGAAGATGTCCGGGTGCTCCGGGTCGTCAGGCAGCTGCACCATCCAGCCCACGATGGAGACCTTTTTGCCAGGTGTGGATTTATACTGGAGGAGAGCAATGACACAGCAGAGGCCCGGGCCACCGCCCTCCACTCCACAGGGGGCAGCCTCAGGCCAGGCAAGGGCCTTCCTGCTCCACCCCCCACAGTTCCCAGAGGTCCCGTCCCCACTCGCCGGAGCCCAGGCACGAGAGTCCTCTCGTGGGACTTACGTGTTTTCGATCTGTGCCCCGCAACGACTTGGCGCCATAGTACAGGAGGGTGGACCCTGAGAGTATGACCCAGTACCTGGTCCACGAGGATAGCTACAGAGGAAGGGGTGGCAGAGGGATGACTGAGGGACACGTCTGGTTCCAGACCAGCTGCCGGGCCATGCTAGCTCAGGTCTCATCCTGGCCCTCCACCATGCCCTGCCAATGCCAGCTACACCCAGGACACAGGAGGGGAGCCGTCTTCCCTCTCCTCTCGCTCTTTTATGCAGAGCCTTCCCTTTGTCACCTTCTCTAAGGCAGTGCCGGGCATGCTTCCATGTGCCCAGGTGACCTGGACCCAAGAAACCACAGCCTAGAAGAGCCTGCTGTCTGTAGTGGGCCGTTCTCAGGGGACTGAACGCCTTTGTTTCTGAAGCCTTTATGGTTAGAAGTGGGGTGATCTGACAGGGCCAAGTGCAGGCTTGCTTCTGTTTTTCTGGGGTGAAGGCTGGCACCCCCCGTTCAGGGAGCTCTGCTCCTTGGTTTTGGGAAAATCACTTCAGTGGGGCTTTTGGGTCTGCAAAGGTAAAGCCAATAAATACTGTGCCCCCGCGAGGTGTCACACATACAGGGGCTCATGGGTATCCGCATAGCTGATACGGGCAGGGACCTTTCAGACTTGTCCCTGACAGTGGCAGGTGTGCAAGACACAGACAACACACGTTGGACTAACACAGTTCTACGAGACAGTCCTTATCTATGATAGGTGTAAGGGACATTTCCCACTCTGTTCCACTCTACTCCAAAATACTGGCCATGACCCGCTAAACTGATGTCGTCACTCACTGGTGAGCCAGCCAGCATTTGAGAAAACACTGCTTTAAGGAAACCAGCTCTCCCTGGATGAGTGACCCGGCCTGGACCTGGTAGGGAGCGAGGCAAGCCGGGCTGTGCAGCAGGGCAGGAAGAGGGCCCGCATTGCAGGAAGCCTTGTGACACTCTGGGCCCAAGTGTCTGTGTGGGCCAGGGCTGGGGGTGAAGACTCTCCTCCTCACCCATGAGCCACCTGGCACCTAGAGACAGGAGGTGGCAGCTGAGTGAGGGACCCGGCCTCTCCAGGTGTATGCTGTGGAGGGAGCATCTCCAAGTGGCCCTGTGGGCAGTGGACAGGGACAAGCAGGAGCCAGAGGACAGTGGTGCAGAGTAACACCTCCATAGAGGGTGTGTGGGTAACTTGTGGATGCGCAGGAAGAACTGAGAGGCCTTTCTAAGGGGCTGAGGTCCTGCACGTGGAGTCATGAAGCCAGTGACATCTAGGTTCAGCACCAGTGGCCGATGGGCTGGTGGTGGCACCTGGCAGTCTCCTGATTCTTTATCCCTGTGCTTCCCCTGACTCATTTGAGGCTACTGCTGGGGAGGAAGCTACCGGCCTCTGGGAACAGCACACAGCAGCAGACATGCCTGGGACATGCAGCTCCCTGGGGCTGTGCCAGCCTTCATGCTCTGGGGGGTCTCCCGGCCTCCACCTGCCCCCAAGCCCTCTCGCAGCTCCGACTCATGGCGCACAGGCCTCTGCACACACACGACTTTCTCACTGGGTCCTCCGAGGGGAGGCACTATTTTGTCCCAGTTCACAGAGGTGAAAATGGAGGCCCTTGCCAGCTCTGGGGTACAGCCAGAAGTGGAGCCCTGGAGGACCAGGCTCAGACCCAGGCCCTCACGCTATCAGTACACAGGTGCGCCGGCACTCACCGCGGGCTTCCGTCCCTCCTTGAGCAGGGTTTTTCTTCTCAGAGGCCCCTCCATGGTGGGCACGGCCGCCGAGTTCCCCAGAGTACAGATGCACGGGCCGGTGGGGCTGGTGGGGGACCACAGTCAGACACAGTCCTGGAGGGGCTCATTATGGGGGCCACGGGTGCCCACTGCAGTCTGCGATGCTTGCACAGGCCTGAAGACCCAGCAGAGCTGAGCCGAGGTCCAGGTTGGGGGGCCGAGGCCACAGAGAGCACCCAGGCTCTCGCAGCCAGAACACTCGCCCAGTTCACCTCGACACTCTGAAGGCCACAGCACTCCAGGTTTGGTGACCAGGTTCCCCACAGCCCAGGCCTGGCAGCACCTGACCCTGTGGCTGAGGAGCAGCAGAGGAGGTGGGAGGGGGCAGAGTGGGAAGGAGGGCCTGGCCGTGTGCTCCGTCTCCTCTGTCTCCCTCTCGTGGGGGTTCAGGCACTGTCTAGAGGTGAAGGTGTCCAAGCACGTGGCCACTCTGACCCACTGGCTCCGAGCTCCAGATCCGCCAGGCTTGTGCTCCCTGGTGCCTCCCCCTCGCCAGCCACGCCCACCCCCAGACCATCTTCCTCTCTGCCCCTTGACAGTGCACCATCACCTGCCGCTGCCCAAGCCAGACACCTGCCACCACCTCAGGCCACTTGCTCTCCCTTCAAGCAGCGCCTGAGGGTGCCCCTCTCTGGTGCCTTCCTCCCGTACGCTCTCCACATGGTGGCCAAGGGCTTGCCACTTCCCTCCCCCCCACCTGCCTGCACCAAAGCCCTCCCGTGGCTCCCCACTGCTGTTCAGGTAGGGGCCTCCTCACCCCTGCTGGTCCTGGCTCCAGCCCCCCCACCCCCCTTTTTCTTACAAGGCTGCCTTTGCCCTGCCCCTCCTGCCTCATGGCCCATGCCAGACCTCTGGCTGGGTGCACTCCCATCACCCCATGCCCCCCCCCCCCCCGGATTAGGATAATTGCCATCATTCCCCCGTCACCCCCCGCAGCCC